TCACAACAGTGTTTCATTATATATATATATATATATATCTTGTTTGCGAATAAGTCCTAGCATTTGGCGCATTGATTCAAATTTAGGTCTCGCAAGTGGTTTTGTTAAAATGTCGGCACATTGATCTTTGCTTTTTACATATTGTAAGCTTATTTTACCTTTTTCATATAAATCTTGTACAAAATGATAACGCACATCTATATGTTTACTTCGTTGGTGAGATTCTGGGTTTTTTGCCAGTCTAATTGCGCTTATATTATCAACATATAGTGTATTTTTATCATTGTTGATGCCTATTTCATCTAACAGATTCGTAACCCAGATTATTTCTTTAGCTGCAGTAGCTGCATTCACATATTCTGCCTCAGTGGTAGATAACGCAACACTTTGTTGTTTTTTACTTTGCCAGATTATTGCTGCTTTACTTAGTTTACATAAAATACCACTCGTAGATTTTCTCCTTATCTCATCACCAGCAAAATCCGCATCACTGATACATTCAAATTCGCCAGTTGTTCTATAATATAAACCCATATCGCTAGTTCCTTTTATATATATCTTATAATGCGTTTTACTAAGCGCCAATGTGTCATGGTAGGTTTTTCTAGTGCTCTAGAAGCTACATTTGTGGCAAATGCTATATCTGGTCTAGTAACAACTTGTAAATACATTAAGTGTCCTACGACTTCACGGTATGATACATGTGGTTCAATTGTCGTGAGTTCATGTTCATCCTATCCAATATCAATGGGTGTTGATACAGAATTTGCATCTGTCATTTTAAAACGATCTAAGATATTTTGTATATAATATTCTTGAGGCTTTCACGGGTGTTTCCTACATGACAATCTTGCGTTTCGCGGGTTTTCTCCGTGTTCAAATCCAACAAGCAGCGTAATATAAAGGGAACGACCCGGGAGAACAGCTTAGTATCAGGCTGCTCCTCGCCCTGATGAAGTGGACTGCAAGGTTCACGAAACGTTGGCATTCCAAGAATGGATTTGAACACGGAGAAAACCCGCGAAACGCAAGATTGTCATATTTTGTATATAATTAGCTTGACTCACAAAAATTGACCCATTTTCAAAACGAGATATTTCAATTCCTAAAAACATTTTAATATCGGTTGTTAATTTCGCATTAAAATTACTTTGTATATATATATATATATATAATTTTGATAAGAAATATTCAATTTCTTCCTCATTCGATGCCGCAATCAATCCATCATCTACCCATAAAACTAGAAAAAAGTTAGTTGTGTCTTTCGCTCGATAAAATAAACATGGATCGGCATTACTCTCCCTCAAATTACAATCAGTTAAAAAATCTGTAAAGTGTTTTTACTAGCAGCGATACTGAGCAAGATTCTGATATATCAAAACGTACAACGGGGCTGAATGTCTCAAAATAATCAATTCTCCTTTTTTGAAAACAACCTTTTATCACTAATCGAGCTCAATATTGATCTTCTATTGAATTTAAACCTGTTTTACGTCGAAATACCCAACGGTTTTGAATAACGCGTTTGTCTTCCGGTTTTTCAACTAAGACATATGTATTATTTTCGCGTATAGATTGCATTTCTTTGTTCATGCTTCTTTCCAATTTTCTGCATCCTTTGAATGTATCGCTTCTTCATAATTTAATGGTTCTGTACTAGCTAAATTAACAATTAGATTTCCATAAAATTCTGGTTGCTTAAAAGTTTAGATCTATCTCTTAATTTTCTGTCACATACGCGTTTATCTTGCTCAGTCTCGTTCTGCTCGATTTCGCGAGATTCAGCTTCTTGTTCTCTTTTACCTAATGGTGGCTCAGTATTATTAGTGAATTCTTTTGTTTCTATTTCAACCTCAGTTTTATGTACTTCTTCGTCTTTAACCCTTTGCGGGGCAGAAGCCACTATAGTGGCACCCTATTTTTTTCAGTTTTTTCTTTATAGCATGAATATTTTAAGGTCTAGGTCGCTCTAATCTTTTTTAATGGAACACTGGATGCTTAGTGAACAAGTTTCTCAGCTCAAAATTTAGAATAGCACTGTATATAATTAGTTATAAACAATTAACAATGAAAAAATGTAGACTTTTTAAATTAAATTCGGTTGTGAACTCATTTTACACACAAATTTACTGATATTTGGTACACGGTGGTTTTCGAGGTCGCTGATTACGAATCCAGTCTCAGATAGTTATGCCTCTGTCCGACACGGTTCGGGTTCCACCAAAATGACTCAAGGAGTTGTCTCACAAATTTACACCTTTATGTAATCTTTAGAAAATATATATCTATTCTTTAATTTCACAATACACAAGTATGATTTACTTATAGTCACCACCTCACTTAGCGGTACTCGCGTAGTAATTTATACCATAAGAACTCGGCGCGATGCGTTACTTTTCTTAATTGACCGAATGCTGACCCCCGACCACCTGCGCGCTCGCGTTTATATCTGGTGCTTTGGAGGTCGATCACGTGCCTTCCGTGTTGCATCGTCAGCGTTCCGCTGATCGGTCGAGGCCAGCTTCCGCAACTTCCTAGTCTGCGATAATCTTGTTATTTTATTTCAGGGTTTCCTTTTATATCCACTACCCTGTTTATTTTAATTTATCAATACATCATTTAATTTATTCCTTTGGCACGTTTCGTGGCGCAATTGTCACTTGTGCAATACCGCACTCGTGACAAGTCTCAGATTTTGAAAACTCAAAGTGGCGGATCAAATATGGGGGGAGGTGAAAATTTCAAAAAATTTACGTTTTGTATTCTCTTTTGGTCAGATATCGAATCGAATCATAAACCCTCCAAAATAATGGATAAATAAAAGGGACTTTAGCAGATATTGTCCTGTAGTTGTATTTGAACATTGCTTTTTTTACTGCTAAGTGACAAACTGTACCAGGAATCTTGATACGAAAAATCAAGATTTTGAGTATATTAGAAGGAGAGCTTCTAACAAAGAACAAACAGGATACCGTGTATTTGAAATTTTGACCGTGTTAGAGATCACGTTTGAGTGGCGGGCTAACGGTCAAAATAGTATGATCATAGTTTTTACTTGGTATTGAATTTTCTGATTGATTAGTTGAATAAGAGACGCGAGGAATTTTGATAAAACAAAAATGAGTGATTCTGGAGAAGAATATGAAGGAGATGAAATTCCATCAGAAAACGAATCTGTCGATGGGAATGACATCAGCGATGATGAAGATTTTGACTTGAATGTGGGTTCTGGAAGACATTCTGCTAATTATTCTCGTAGGTTCGAAGACACTCAAGATTTATCAGATGAAATCTGGTCAAATAAATCTTTGCCTTTCAGTGAGTTACCTTTCACACAGAATGTTGGGCCGAAGAATATTCCAGATACTGTCAAAACACCTGAAGTGTTTTCTTGATGCTCCTATCAGAAGAAAATATCGAGCTTATGATTCAACAAACAAATCTGTATTATCAACAGAATAAAAATAAGAATGATGTTCTTGTAACTGCAGATGAGATAAAGAGATTTATTGGAGCGAACATAATAGTAGGGGAGGCCGAGAGGCTAAATGTGGATTTACTCGAGCGTCGTGGGGACCTATTGGATTGTGAAGATTAGATGCTAAAAAGAAAAAAAGGTTATATGATGTATGCCGTTTCAGTGGTGGGGGGAGCGTGTACAGGCTTTCAAAAAAAACAATGAAAATGAAATACTCGAGCGTGTCAGATTAATAGTGTAAGCGACCCATGTGTTTCTGATAACGGATAAATATTAATCTGACGGTTTGCGTGGTGGGGTTAGCTGTAGGAAGGGATCAAAAAAAGGGGAAAAGAAAATTTCCTCGAGCGCGTCAGATTTTCA